CGTTGGCTTGCGCGCGGCATAAAAGGCGAGGAGAAAGGCATGATTGGTATTTTGAGAATTTTGAAGAAGAAGATGAAGAAGAAGAAGAGGGTGTTGTGAGAAGAGAGGTCCTTAGAACCCACGGAGGAGAAGAAGCACCGAACAAACTCATGGTTTTACCGTCGTTTCAAAACGAACAGAGCGAGTAAGTTGGTTTCTTCCTTATAAGATTTTATTTATCTTGTGGAAATATCTGTCTAAGTTTGGACATTTGTGCTTGCTGGGTTCTCTTTCTCCTTTAAAGATAAAAACAAATTAACAAATTATTTTAGAAAAAAACAATCATTTAAAAAAAACATATGAAAACACACATGGCTTTCTAAGTGAACTTGTTCATGCTCTTGCAAAGACGAATCACACTCATCACTCATCTCTCTCCCTCCAAAAATCCTGCAAGAAAACAAGGAACGGTCACTCAAAAGTGGTAGTGGGAGAGCAACCAATAACCTTTGATGCCTAAGTCCTCGTTTCCCTCAAAGGAGGTAAGGAAAGTATTGCACTTAGAATGGAGGAAATTCAGATTACATTTTTGGCATTGTTCTGGCCTTTTGGGCCCGATCACTCCTTAAGTGATGGGGCTAGTCATTGGGCTCTTTTGGCAGGCCATGTCCATATTTGGTATTAATACTTAGTTTAATTTCACTTATTCAATTATAAAACTCAAAGGTATTTATATAATCAATTGAAGTTTGAAGAGTATCCCCATTAAAAAAATTTAGTTATAGGAAGGGGGTTAGTTATAGGAAGCGGTCAGATTATTTTCAAAGTAAAACAAATAAATATAAACTAGCCTCTCCGCACGCGCTTCTGCTTTTGCGAGAGGCTTTTTTTCTTTTTAAAATTTTAAATTTATTTTAGAATAAAAAAAGATAATGTGTAGTTGTTTTCCATAAAAATAGGATCCATTAACCGATTTTAATTTTAATTTTAATTTTTTAAAATATGAAAAAGTATGAATTTATCATATTATCCTCATTTAATTAATAATTTCAATTCTTAATATTTGCATTAACTAAGGGCATTTTCTGGTATTTTGAATGTTTCACCATTCTCTGCCTTTTGCTTTATAAATATAAATATAAGTTTTCGGTATTGATACTTGGCAAGAAATGCCCTTCGTGGTTACTTTCAAAAGCCGTGCATAAGGAAACATACAAAAGACTTGTCCGAGCCCATTTATACGTTCTTAGAGCGTCCACAATCATGCTTTCTATGTTTGAGTTAAATTTTAGCTAAAACATATAAAAGTTATTTTAGGAGCTCTCTATAAAATTTAAACTTCAATCATGCTCTCTAGTTTAGGGAATCATAAATGCTATAACTCTTTTTTAATTGGTCCATCTCTATTAAAAAATAATATAAAAATTAATTAACATTAATTAAAGGTTTGAAATACTCATTAAATAAAACATCATTAAATTATAAGGAGCCACTAGGAGTCCTTTCTCTCTCCTCGGATTTAGGAGCTCCTAGAGGACTTCTTATTTTAGGAGGTGGATAGGGAGCATGGTTGGGGTTGCATTTTTCCAAATTCTCTCTAAAATTTATCTAAGGAGGTGATTTAAGAAGCCCATTGTGGATGCTCTTAAATATATGTCAAAAGACTTGCCTGTTCTTAGACGCATTTATCCATTTAAACACATGTCAAAAGACTTGTCCATTCTTAGACCCACTTATCCATTCTTAAGTTCATGCTCAAATAAAGAATCTAATATGTGAGCATTGTTGATATAGATTTTTACTTCCTAAAAATTAGATAGTTAAATTCAAGAAATAAACTTGCAAGCACATAAGGTTAATGCAATATAGCCAAAGTAAGAATAAGGTTGATCCCAAAGAAATTGAATTAATTCTCAAGTTTTTGTGAATTATAAACTAACTTAAGCCTTTATTTATAGTTAACTAACTAAAACGTTGAGTGAATGGAACAATAATAAAAAGGAAAACACAAGGAAACACAAGAACAAACAAATTAAATCCTAAGTTACTCTAAATACCCTAACCAATAAACTTTAAACTAATATGCTCCTATGCTCCCTAAAGCTATGACTCAACCCAAACTTAACAAAAAAAAGTTTTGAAATTAGTTTCTATAGGTTTTCTTTAGAAGAACGTTGAAAAAAAGAAAATTTAAAGACAAGATAACGAAAAAAAAAAAGTGAACTGAATAAGGTTGTGAACGATTTTAAAGGGGCTTTATGAAGACAACTTTCATCACAATTTCTCTTATCCAAACCTTAGCATGCATACTATCAAAATTTCCAAATTTATGTAGATGATTAGTTCTCCAAAATTATGAGTAATTCTTTTCACAGCAATTAACCAATTCTTATTACATGCAATTTATCCTTGGCGTGAGGCATAAATGTAAACACATAATAGAGCATGTCCAGCAACTCGGGCTGGACAGAGGCTAGGGCAGGTTTGGGTAAAAAAGGCCCTCCAGCAGCAGGGTTTGGCCCGAGATGGCTGTGGGGTCCACGAAGTCGGGCTGGCCCGACGGCAGGTCCAGCCCCAGGTCCAAAACTCGGGGGAGCTGACGTCATCGATGACATCAGCAACAAAAAAAATTAAAAAAAATCGAAAAAAAACAAAAAAAATTCAGATTTTTAAAAAATAAATACTTAGTCATATTTTTCACTTCCCACACCAAAAATCTTTTAAAGACATATTGTCCAAATTAATTGTTTAGGTAAACAAATATGTGAAAAAAAACAAAAAAATGAATAGTATTTGCCATAAACTAGGGCAACTGTTGGAAACCAACATTGCTTTTTGCAAGGGCAGCCACTATTCACATGAATAGTGGCTGCCCTAGCACCCCCCCTTGCCATGGCTAAGGGCAACTGGTGGAATTGCTCATAGAGCTTAAGCTTAATGACAACTTCATAAAATCACATAAACCTCTAAGAATATGTCATTTTACCTTATGCAAATTTATGAATTTAATCACAAGAAGCAAATCTCATATTAGGCATGGCGTATACCCTAACATGCGTCAAATTACTTAACTAAAAACCTAGATGGTAGCTAAGCTAAAAAATCAATAGTTAAGAAAATAATAAGCACAATGATTAAATTTCAAGAAGAGGAAACTTTAATAGCATAGCATAACTAAGCTTTGAATAATTAGAAAGGGCTACGTTGTGTTGTACTAAAAGAAAATTAGTTACCCATACTCATGGTAACAAAGTAAAAATAAAGCACAGAGAAAGAGATAGAAAAACCCTTAGAATAGACGGCCACTCTTTCCTTGCTCCAAGAGTATATGTGAAAATTTACGGCGTACCCTGAGTGAAGCCGGCCTCTCTTAGTTTAAAGCAACTTATAACCTAGTTAAATTGGGTCTAAACAAGTGGCTTTACATGAAAACTTAATTTCCAAGTCGATTCCTAACTGGAAAAGGCGATTACAACTAAGTTTCCTAAAACTTGCAAGAAACAATACGTGGACTCCCTTGTGAATGGCATTTGGACACATTCCTGATCTCAAAAAATTGCAAACGACCGTTCTTTGGAAAGCTCTAGATGTCCTCTTTTCAGCCATATGCTGTTTGCCTCAATCCTATTAGCTAGTGTCTTAACCACATCAAACATTAATAGTTGCTGATTTGGAACATATAGCTGTTAAGATTAGTTAATTAGTAAGGACTATAACTATAAAACCATAAGCTAGTTCTCTGTATTGAAATGTAACAAATTGTTGAGCTCTTTTTGGATAATCGAAGAAGATAGAAAATGAACTTTATGATATTTGAAGAGCTTAGCCGTTCGATCATGTTATCAGAGTTATGAACACCTCATTGTCCTTCGATCCTACTTGCTTTTCGTTTTCAAATACATATGTTTTCTTCGATCTTTTTCATTCCTCTCTTGATTCTTCATTTTGTTACTGCAAGATCTGCTTTTATGTTTGTTCCTTGATGCTGTGTTTACAGATTAGTGATTTGCTTTGGTGTTTGTTGACGCACTCGTATGACTTCTTCTTTAGCTCTACAATCTACTTTCTCTACTTTTAGGAATTTCTATCTTTCTTTGGTGTTTGTTGACAAACTCGTACTAAAATCAGCATCTTTAGTCCAAATTAATTCACAAAACTAAGTAAAAATGATATAAAATCATGTGAAATTATGATCATATCAGTTGGTTTTTTGCGAGGATTACATTTTTCACTCTACTCCCTTTGGTTTTCTCCAGCATCTTATATGGTTGCCACGATTATATTTAAAATTTTATATAAATTGGATAAACCAGAGAAAGTTTCCGGCACAAATCCGAAAGCACTTCAATGCCATCCTCTATTAATACGGAAGTATGGGCTTAACCTACAAATATAAAGAGCACAATATGTTTAGAGGAACAATTAAAATGTAGCTTTTCACACATGTAACATTTGTAAAGTCAAAATTTGAATTACTATCATGCAAAACATATCTCGCCTTGTTCATTCATTGTTTTCCGTTTTGGGGTCATGCTCCCATTCACCATCAGGCTAATTTCCATGTTTGTGGCATCAAAGTTTATGCGACTTTGATTTAGAGTTATGTGTCTCATATTTGCATTAATAATTTCTTATGCGTCATACCATAAAGTGAGTTTGCTAAGATTGGTGCAATATTTGCCTTTTATACTTACTAGATAAAGAGTTGCGTTTTTTGTTACATTTTGTAAAAGTATTTCAATAGCTTGGAGAGTTTATTTCATCAATTTAAAAATATTTCCTTCTTTTTTTTCCCCTTTCCTAATAATAATGTGGTTACGTACGAAAATGTTTAACAGCGGCCGTGCACAATATGGACTATGCTACACTTTCTGCTTTTATTTTTATTTTTATGATATCAAATTAGTATGATTTGATATGACCCAGCATTTGTGGAAGAACTTGGACTCTGTAAAATGACCTGATTTTTTGTATGTTCAATGTGAAGATCCTGATCACATATGCTTATAGAAAAACGCAACTTATCCACACTATATCATCACTATTTAAAAGGAAAACCACACTAGATGAACATGCCAATCTGCTACAAAGGTTGATGAAAAAGAAAGAGAAAAAAAGCTGGTAAAACCATTGGGAAACTTGTCAATCTGGTAAAACCACGCCAGATGAACATGCCAATCTGCTGCAACATCGGAATGCTGCCAAGTGTTGTGTGTTGGATCTTTCCTGAATCCTGCTATCTAATCCTGGACACTAAAATGGCTAAGATTAAGTGAAACAAGACCAATTTCCCAAAAGAAAATGATCACCAGGAGACGAGTTTAAGTAGAAATACTCCCATGTCACTCTGTTGACCCATGTTTATCTTCATCTGCCTCAAAAGCCTTCCTCATCTTCTCTTCATCAGTCTCAAAAGCCTTCCTCAGCTTCTCTTCATCTGTCTCAAAAGCCTTCCTTGCCTGTTTCAGCTCTTCATTCATAGACAGCAATTCTCTACAGCGGTTAAGCTTCGGAAAGTCCTGGAGAGTTTACCACATTTACATTAGTGTTTGCATCAGCAGAAAGAACGTAATAACAAATCACATTTTAACTATCATTTACCACATTTACATTAGTGTTTGCATCAGCAGAAAGAACGTAACAACAAATCACATTTTAACTATCATTTATCCCATGCTTTTAAAAGCAACATGCCAGGTAAAGCTTTCATATTATCCAAGTAATTCCAATGTACAATGTAAAAGAAAGGAAGTTACATTGCAGACTATTCTGA